GTAGTAGAAAAGAGGTTAAAGACAGGAAGTAAAAGGGAAAAAATTCTAATTAAATTAAGTTTACATTCACTATACGTCTGCATGCATTTTTGTTTTTAATCTTTGTTTCCAGTACATCCAAAACCAAATTAATATATTACCTTTTGTTCTTTAAAAAAAACTTTATATTTTTAGAGAATCTTTTCCTCCTTACAACCACCTTGCTCAAACTTCCCCTTTTTTCAACCCTTTACTCTTCCATCATATATTTAGAATAGAATAGAATAGAATAGAATAGAATAGAGCTGGAAGGGAGCTTGGAGGTCTTCTAGTCCAGCCCTCTGCTCAGACAAGTGACTGTCTAGTCTCTTCTTAAAAACCTCCAGTGATGGAGTGCCCATTTAATTTGATCTACTGTATCTATTATTGTTCTACTACATACAGTTTGCATTCTCTTTTTGTTTCTGCTTACCTACTCAATTCTTATTTCTATTAAGTAAGGTTGATAAGACTTTCTTACATACAGCCATTTTCACTTCTTTCAACAAATATTCATTCTTTAAATAGATTGCATGTTATCCACTATTTTTCTCCTAACATTTATATATCTTAATTTTTTTTCATCCATTTCCCCATTTTAGTAAACATTCCAGTAAGGTACAATATTAATTTCATTAATTTCAAGTTAATTTGTTTAACTTGCATTCATTCATTTAATTTTTTTTATAAAACATGATTACCTTGATCTTTAATTTTTACATTCTTACTACTTGTTGCATTGTATGACCTAACACTTGCTACAAATCGTTCATGTTGTCAGGCAACAACATGGAATCATCTATATACAAAAGTACATATGTGTTCATGTTCCCAACCAACACACTTCTAATATTGCAAAAAGCATTATTTATATATTCATCCATAACTACAGTAAACAGCAAGAAACATCACACAGCCTTCTTTTACTCCCTGTTCACTGTTGAACCATTTGATAAGCATTCTAATTTTTCTCATGAATGCTTTTCTATCACCCTATATCACTTTTAATATTGACCTTGGTATATTGTCGCAAACCATTCCATAATTCAATTTTGTTCACTTTATCATACGCTTATTTGTCATACTGGAGAACTTTGCTGGCTTTGTTTTCCTAGCTAAGATGTAAAGAAATAGTTATAGATAGGGTGGACTAAATGATGTTAAAAACTATAATATTCCTGAAGTATGATTCTGAGTTTCCTTTCCATGAAGAATGTGACATCTGGAGGTTTTAGCTGCTGAAAGAAGGGAATTTTATTTAATCCTTAAGTGTCTCAGTCTCCTCTAATTCTGTTTCAGAAGTTCCCTTGTTACATTTTTATTCCTTTGTGGTATATGCATTGCAGATTGTAAAGAATAGGGTTGTAAAGTGAAGGTTTATTTAACAGATTGAAAACATGTTTTGCAATAATGCAGTAAAAATAATTTTAAATGCAGCAAAGGAACATACCATTTCATTTCTACAAGCACATGAAAACAAATAGCAAAGACTCAGAATTAAAAAAATATATAAAAATTCAAGAGTTTAAACATTTCAACACTCAGTCTCCATCTTCCACTTTTGCTTATTTCTTAAACTCCTGGTTTCTCAATAGCTTTCTGGAGCACACAAGTGGAAAAGAGAGGTGATAGGCCGTGGTGGCGCAGTGGTTAAAATGCAGTATTGCAGGTTAACTCTGCCCACTGCCAGGAGTTTGATCTTGACAGACTCAAGGTTGACTCAGCCTTCCATCCTTCCGAGGTCGGGGGCAAGACTGTATGCTGACTCTGTAAACTGCTTATAGAGTGCTGTAAATCAGTCATTCTGTTTCATGAATGACACACATTTTATCTTACATTTGAACTAGCATCTACCACTTTTTACAGAAGCAGAATAAGCAAAAATAACTCCATGCTTTTTTGGAATATCGAAATAACATTACATTTTTACTTTAATTTGCTTCTTCAGTCTTGAGTCTTACAACTCTCCAGACTTCCCTAATTAAAATTGATACACCAAGTACCATGACCTGATACAGCTTGTATCATTTTTGCCTTTGCACACTCCACCCACACTTACTGGAAACGATTTTCTTAGGAATTCAAACAAAGTGACTGCTGTGCTTTATTTGAATGATCTGAACATGTACATAATATAGTATACATTCCCTCATTCATGCTGTAAATAATAAAAGTACAGATTGAGACTTGGAAATTGAGGTTATTAGGAAGAAATGCTTTATGGTGAAAGTGTCTATCTTACATCTGTTCTTTTAAATTTTAAAATGAACTGTTATTAGACTGCATTAGAGGAGAATGAAAGAAACATATTGTTTTCTTGGCTAACAGCAAAGGTTAAAGCTAAAGTGGATTTAGTTTTTGTCCATTATACAATTTTGAGGCCAGGAAGAGGCACAGAGAGGTCTGAATATTACTTCCAACTACATACTGGTAGGATTTATCAAAGGGCAGTGTTAAGAACAAAGTTTGGACAAATTAGCCAATACTTTGCTATAAATGTGTGATATGATATGATTGAGCTCATATTGGTTCCTGATAAGCTTCTGGGTGCAATTTAATGTGCTTGTTTTTATGCATAAAGCCATTTGTGGCTTAGTTCTAATTGACTCCAGGACTGCATATATCAGCTAAAATTGACCTTACTGATAAATTGATCTCAGGAAAAACAAATATTTGTTCCCCATTTCTGTGAAGTTAATTGGGGGGAGAAGAGGTGGAGCTACAAAGTATTAGTAGTTTTCACGGGCAGTGCCTGTTCTTCAGAATAGCCTTCT